TTCGGACAGCAACTTTCAGACTGAAGCGATTCTACAGGCCGTCTGAGTCTCCAAAGATTTGGGAAAAGGTTTTCTCTTTCCTCAAAGCGTTGAGCCCAAACTTTTTCCAATTTGTTGTTAATAGAATTCATTAAGAATCTGCATAAGCAAGATATTCCGTTAACCGCTGCGAAGCCTCCGAATTATGGAATTCATTTCAGATCCAAGTCCTACTAGCTCCTCGATACTCGGCAAAGGAATTCTGCGAAATGGCGCTTTTGTTTCTCAATATTAGGATGTCCACAGAGGCACGGAGCGGATGCATCTTGAGAGCTAAGAACTTGTTAGTCGGATTTCATTTGTTTCAGGATCACAGGAAGTATGGCGCAGCCCTGTGGTTCCAAACAATGTGGAAGATGTATGAAGTTGTAGAAATGGGAAAGAAATGGGGTGATGACCTGCCAAACTTCTTCGCCACGTAAGTGATCAAATTTCATTTGTTAGCTGGTTAGTCCGCATGGTTCAGGTGATGAAACAGTAAGTGACCCGACGTCGAGCATACTAGAAGTCTGGTCATTGGCTGCTAGTTACATTCAGATTCCCTGAACTTCACTTACCACAAGAAAACGAGTCATAGGTAAGGAGCTGAGAAGCTCCCGTCTGAACCCAGACGGCAGCTCCTCTTCTCGTCTAAATGCCTTAATGGGCTGGGCCCACATCTCGGGTATAAAACAGAGCCAATCAAGGACGAGCGGTCGCGTCACTGAGAGGTCCTCCATGGGCCGCATGCTCTCTCTTCTCGGACGGATGCATCACCCTCTAAAACGATGCTATTCTAAGGAGGGGAGACAGGATTGAGTCGTAGGACCTTCCTCACTTCTGCGTTTTTGCATTCCAGGCAGAGCACGCGACCTCTTGCTGGATACAGTCTTTCAACGGCAGACGGTCCAGTACAACCGATCAATATGGTCCCAACATCCCAACGCGAAACCCTGTCACCTCCTCCGTAGAATGAGGGAGGATAGAGGGCATAGAGGGTAGGGGAAGCATTTCCTTCGAGGAAGGATAGCATACGACCGTAATGCACTGCCAATGATGGAGGCAGAGAAGCGCTTGCTGGAGTAATGGCGCCACCTATAGAACATTAGCCCTTCTGCAGCGGCCGTACTGCTTACAGGAAAACCGCATAACTGTCAATTTATGGACATCAAGCACGGTTTAGAGCTAGGTGATGGTACAGGCAGCTCCGTTCTACGTAAGCAAACGATGGTCCATTCAAAGTAGTCTCTGAATTTGGAACTTTCACGTCAAGCTAATAATATGAGACGTTTGTCATCAAAATTAGGCAATTCCGTTCAAGGGCTGGTGGCACGATGAATCGTGTTGAAGCAAGGAAAATAAGCCTACTGCAACAAAATTCTGTGCGCTCAAGGAAGTGAAACGTGGCTCTAGCATCTTA